ACACTATCGTCCATAATTACTCGAGTGGTCATATTTTTTGATATAAGATATCAAAGTTGGGAGAAAAACTGAAAACAATATCTACCTGAATTATATGTTATCTTCCTATTTATTAGGTTTACAAATAAAATTACCTTGATTTGTTTAAAATTTATTAAAAACCCTGATTAGTTTATAATTTATTAATAACCTTGATAAGTTTATAATTTACTTGCCGATTAATTACCTTTAGCAACCATAACCATCATATATATTCTTAGCATTCTACTTAACGACTTAACTAATTAGTCAATTTATGTCACAAAGTTTTTTCGAAAAAGAAAAAATACACCTAATGATTTTTAAGTTATTTTTACGAATTTATTGTAAGTACTTATTAGTTACCCCCTAATTCAGGATTATTGTTGATCAATTTGAAAATTATCGACTGCAATTTAAAGTATTCACAAAATTTTACCGGACAATACAAATTTATTTTGACATGGATAATCATAAACACCATCACATCAGCAATACATGTATTAACTGGAAAAAAATTATTTTGACATGAATAATCATAAACACCGTCAGCAATACATGTATTAACTGCAAAAAATTTATTTTGACATTGATAATCATAAACACCGTCATAGCAGCAATGCATGTATTATCTGCAAATCAATTTTTTATTCATACCCAGCAAACATGTCAGCGTTGAATCAACGTTAAAAACCAGTCGCAGCGTAGAAAAAGCGTTACAGTCACAAAAACAACGTGCTTTCAACGTTGAATCAATGTCTGTTTTTGTATACTAAATTGCGGTTAATTGAAACGTTGAATAAGCGTTAAAAATGTAACGTAATTTAGCTTCTTTAAATAAAACGTTAATTCAACGCCGACTCAACTTACGCTAAAAGCTACTTTAACAACGTTTCAAAATTAATGCTTTATCAACGTTAAAAAAAACTCCGCTTTTTCAACGTTACATTTTCAACGTTGAATAAGCGTATAAATTTAAACGTATCTTATTTTCTCAAAAAATCGCGTTTATTCAACGTTGAATAAAAGTACGCAAATAATCACTGTAAAAACGTCGCAAAGTTTAAGGTTTATCAACGTTAGATATAAGCTGCTTTTTAAGCTATTTATAAAACAACGTTTATTTAATGTTACATATACCAACGTGGTAATTAAAAAAACGCGGAAAAAGTGTTACTTTGCCAACGTTAAAAAAGTTTCCGCAACATCTTTTGCGACCAGTTTTTAACGTTGATTCAACGCTGTCATGTTTTCTGGGTAGTAACAAAATAAACAAAAAGTTTCATTTACAAAAAAATTAAACCACAACAGCATCATCAACTAGCAATTGGAAAATTAACTACAAAAATATTTATTATAGATATAGCGTATTTTCCCACTACTCCCTCTTCTCATATTTTATTTTTTACAGGATCCAAACTCCTTACTAAAAAAATATAAAAGTGAGGAAGAGTGAGCTTTTGTCCTAAATTAGGGCCCACAACTTATATGCCTTGTAAGATGTTTATTTAAACTGCAATATGCTGAAAAAGCATTGTAAGATATATCTAAGACAAAAAAAAAATTATAATATGATAAAAGTAAAAACATAACATATATTAATACTACAAATTTGCCTGCTGCTAATATTTTTTCTATAAGATTGTTAAAACTTATTAAATTCTGAAAAGAAAAAGAATTTATCAGAAAAAAAATTAATCAAAATAAAAAAAACATAAAAACTATCAGTGAAAACAAATTTTGTAAATTGATTAAAAAATATAACTATTCTTCCTTGATTTGCGTTAAAACCATATTTTAACAGTAAACAAAGTAAACTTATATTAGTTGTTAAAACACCTAGTAGAACTGAAAGAAATAAAAAAAACTAAATTTAAAATGTTTGTAATATATATAATATATATGTATTAATATATATATATATATATATATATATATATATATATATATATATATATATATATATATATATATATATATATATATATATATATATATATATATATATATATATATATGATATATATATATATATATATATATATATATATATATATATATATATATATATATATATATATATATATATATATATATATATATATAAATTGACTAGAAATAACTAGAATGTATCTGCAGTTTTAATAAATAAAAATTATGATTGATTAGTAAATATAATTATAATAATAATGTTATACAGTGTAGTTTATTTGAATGACTGGGTGACTCATGTAGGGAATTTTTTGAAATTAATGGTTGATGATGATATTTCCTACAATTATTACGATTGAAATATTGTGAGAAAATATATATTTTTTAACTAAAGAGTGTAAGGCAAAAATCATTAAAACCTTACAATATATTAAAGTATAAATATGATAAAATAATATTATAAAGTATAATACAGTACTCGACAAACGATACAAGATTACAGAATTGTTTAGAAAGTTGCTCAATAAAAATGTAATTATAACATGCTCTTTATTCGAAATAAATGAGCATATAAAATTATATATTTTCTCTTTTATATTTTTTTCAACAATTTTAGTTTTTTAAGATTTGCAATGATTCCCAGGCGGGCAAACCCATTTGGGTTTGCTTGGCTGGGCCCGGATGGAAACTGCGGCCAAATACCGCCAGGACTCTAAAGGGTTTTTTATATGGGGCCCATACGGGTTAATAGTGTGGGATATGTTTAGGACCCATACAGGTAACCCAGCGGGTAAACCCATACGGGCCCCGCATGGAAACTGCGGTCAAAAACCCGCGGGATCCCGAAGGGCTACCTATATGGGGCCCAGTTGACATCCCGAACGGGTCCCATACGGTACCCGTATCACAATGCTGGCTGGCAAGGTACTTCCATTGGAAAATCTATTACTTTTTGTAAATCTTTTTTTTGTCATATAAGATATAAAATTTGGCTACAAGATTTGTTCGTTACTTCAGTCAATAAGTTCAAGGAAAGTCATAGCATCAAAGTTAAATGAAGGATTTTTTTCGTTTTTTACACTACATTACCTTGCTCTGAATATCCTTTAACTTTCATAATCATCATAACTGCAAAAAAATCAAAGCTCTATTTTCATTTGATGAGCAACAAGAGAAATAAGAAGAGACTTAAAATGAACATGACATCCACCATTTTGAACAGACTTAATAACGGCATTCATAACTTCGACTATTTGACATAATAATCTAATACTTGGACATCCTTTAAACGTCCTAAGTCGCCCAGCGGGTATCCAGATGTTTAATGGATGTTCTATGGATGTTATTAGACGTCCTGTGTTCACTAAAATTCTATTTTATCGTTTATATTGTATCAAAATATCGTTTCAAAAAACTCACTTATCAAGATCATAAGAAAGAAGCAAACTTTTCTGAATATGTAGACCTTTCCTTGTACATCTCTCAGTGTAGGAACTTTAGTTTCCGACCAATCCTTTCTTACTCCAGGATAATTAGTTAAATTAGTTGTAGAAGAATATTTACTTTGTTTCAATTTTAAACTTTCCATAACACAATAATCTATTCTATTTATCTTTTACTATAAAACAAAAACAATTATAATGAACAACCACAAATAAAATGCAACAAATATTGCAACAAAGCTTTTTGATATTGATATATGCACTATAAAATTCACTAGTAACGCAAAGCAATTAACAAGTACAAAGTAACTGTGTTCTATAATAAAAATTAGTTGTAATCTATGAACACAGTTACAAAGTAACTGTGTTCATAGATTACAACTACAAATGGACTTATTAAAAATTGGATAATTAAAAATTTTGATTTTTCGAGTTTTTTTTTACACATAAAAAAAAAATGTTGCTTAACTTACCCCAACCCATAATAAAATCACTCCCCAAATGTAATTTTTAAAAATTTTTAAGTATTGTATATGCATATAAAGTAATAAAAGTTTCCTCATGTATAATAGAGCAGTGGGGTAAAAAATGAAAGTAATATTAAAGATATTCTTGATGATACAGATGGGTTATCACATGGCGCTAAAAATAAAAGCAAGGAGCCGTGGCATAGTGCTTAGAGCTTTGGCTCAAAACCAAGAGTTTCGAGATTACACGCCTCCTCTAGCACAATAAGGAACATTGGTAAGGCAAGTGGTGTGAAATTCCTAGATAAACGCTCTTTCGCGGTACTCGGTGATAAGATCGTAAGGGCTTCTGGGAAGACCTAAAAAACCACCAAAAAAAAAAAAAAAAAAAAAATGTTATAAGAAGCAAATGTTAATTTCTTAGAAAAAACGTTTGGTTTTACAATAAAATAAAGTCATGCATTAATATTGACAAATCGTATCTATAATAATTAAAACGAACAATTAAACAGGATAGTTAACTATGCAGGAAAATTAAAAATTAAAAAGTATCTTAAAGAGAACTTATTTAAACTCATGGAGAGTAAGCACTATTCGCGCTTCTTTTTAGAAGTTAAATGACGCGTAAAAGGAAAAGTCCCTAATGATCACTTATATATTATATATATATATATATATATATATATATATATATATATATATATATATATATATATATATATATATATATATATATATATATATATATATATATATATATATATATATATATATAAACTTTATAAAGTTTTACTAGAATATATTTTTACTTTAAACCTTTTTTTTTTTTTTTGAAAAGGTTATTTTCTTTCTGCTGGATTCATTAATTATATCTTTTGAAGTTCCCGGGTGAGGCTTATTGAGATAGCTACCCGAAAAATTTGTTATTAAATTACTTTTTCAAAATGATAGTTAATTATTTAACAAAGAAAAAACAATCTTTTTTTGAAAACTATAAATTTTGAAGAATAGATTTTGTTTAAAGAACAGATGCATCGCCTCTGTTGTAAAAGTATTACTGAGTTGAAAAAATTAAAAGTTAGCGGGAAAAAAATACTATCAAAAAACTACGTTTGTACAAGAAACAACAGGAAAACAAATTGAAATAAAATGAATGCGAAAAAATCAATAAAGAAAAAGAAAAAGATAATAAAAATAATAAGTTAGTGAAAAAGAAACTTATTAACCAACAAAAAGGTGTTTTTGTAAACGAACAAAAAATGACAAGGGGTTAATGTTTAAATTATTAAATAAATAAATTAGTACTTTGAAATATTATTAATGTGTTATCATTGCAAGTTCATTTTTGTAAGGAGCATTTGAATTCGTTAGTTAAAAATTCTACAAGAGAATTTATGCGCTCCTTAATAAATATCAAAGTAAATAAAACTTTAAACGTAAAAATCAAATGACCTGGCTAATGTTTGTCTCAATTAATTGTCATGTATTCATTTATATTTATGTTAACATTAGTATTATATACAGTATCCTTGGATATCAACTTAATAACATTGGAAACGGTGTTCAATATTTAGAGTATGAACCCTGGTCAGACAATCCTAGATATGGGGAGGCCAGCTTGCAGTTTTTGTTTAAGACAAATGTACCAAAAGGAGTTCTTTTGACAGTGGCCAGTAAAGGTGATCACAAACTTCAAATATTTTTAGATGAAGGTAAACTACACGTTCTATTAGTAATGGGAGGAAAAAATATTGTAAACCAAAAAAATATCCACATAGGAAAACAATGGAATGACATGAAATGGCATACAGTAAAATTAACACGAAGATTTCGTATTGTTACAATATCAATAGACAACATGGAAGAGACTTTAATTTCAAATGGAAAAATACCAGACAGGCTAAATGTTGATTCCGCACACTTATATATTGGATGGGATCCTGATCAGAACAATGAAGGGTATTAATATTTTAATTATTGGAATAATTTATTTTACATTTCTGCAACTTCATACAATATTTTCAATTTTATATTTCTTTTTAACAACCCTTGTGATAATAGAGTAAATATGATGTGGTGAATGTTTTGACAGATATACTCTATCTTGTAAATAAAAATATTTCTTGGTATATTTTTTGTTTAGTTCACAAGTTAAAATGACGAGGTTAAAGTCAGTTAACTATTATAAAATTTACAACTTTTTTTATATAGTATTTTATTAAATAGTTTTACAGGATGCATTATAAATATTTCGTATCCTATTGGAAGCAATCCAAAGGAACCCGATCATGTAGTAGGAGAAGTAAAAGATGAATGTGACGACGAATGCACTGATAAAGAAAATACATGTCTTAACGGGGGCAAGTGCGTCAAAAATCTAGATAAGTCCAAACCGTTTTGTGATTGTAGTGGAACAGGAATGACTGGAGAAAGTTGTTCTAAAGAAGGTAATCATTTATAAAAACAAAAATGTTAAAAGAGGAGATTACCGTTAATAACCAAACATTTGATCTGCTTAGTTTTTAATGGTATATTTCTTCCACCATACATCATGTACTAAACTATAAGTCTGACGGATACTTTGACATATTTAAAGGACACTGATCGGAGATTCAATTAGTGTATGCTTTAACTGGACTATGTTTAGAAACATCAATTGTTTTAGTATTGAATTGATGCAAATATGATAATAATTTGCGTATCACAAGTCACTTTTTGCTTCTAATTTATGCACAACTGACGTTGACCTAATGTTGACACATTTAATTTTGACATAATCAGATTTCGGAATAGGATTTGCAATCGGTAATGCCAACCTAACTCCCAACCTAAAAGTATTTGTGATCAACATAAAATTGTCGATCTTGATTGTAAAATTTCTGTATCAAATTTTTGTTGCCGACCTGAACCGGTCTCAAGCAAATTAGGCTCGGCAAATTATTAACAACCTCATTTTTTCAAATATCAGAGGGTTATATAATAATTGATATATTTACATAATAAAACATATAGTAGTACATAATTTCTCAATGAAGATAACAATTTCTTGTAAATTAATTTTGTTGGAGTTGCGACTACAGGCAACTTCATTCGCAATTTAAAAACATATCCAGGAAAATATGCATTATATTAAATTTTATTCAGACAAGACCAACGGCTGCTACACCAAACCAATCTAAGATTTCAGACTTTCGAGCAGGTTATTTACTTATACAAATTCGTTTTTATTTTATTAAATATTTAAAATATGTTAAACCCTCGAGTCCGTTCTATGTCCGTGTTAATCTTCTACCTCTAGTAGACTCGTAGTCTACTAGAGGTCTGACATTCCATAACAGTTCTTATAATTCTTATTAGCTTGTACGGTAATACGTTGCAGTGTCGCACTATATCTGACCATTTAAACTTAAGCTTTTAAATAAAGCTTTAAACTTAGCTTATAAAGCATGGCGTTATTGATTATTACTTTATAGAATAGAAAATGAGAAAGACATTGCATTTATTATTTATAGTTGCTTTGGGAGAGAGTTCTATGGAAACATAAGGCCACACTCACTTCAAGCAATGAAGAAATTTTGGCAGCCGTTGTGAAACATCTAGTAGTTGGTGCATTACTAACCGTGTCTATAGTAGAAAGTGAACATTTTAGGCAATAAAATAACGTTCTTGATCCTCAGTGCTTAACTATTAGCCGTTTTGCCGTAAAAACCTATTTAGAGAAAACGTATGCGGATGCAAAGTAAAAACTAATATGCAGATGAACTTCACGAGAAGGTAGAAAATGAAGACCTGTAGGAAGACATTATTGCACCGGACAAAATAATCCAAAATATCAATCAGCTTAACCCAAGAAGATAGGTTACAAGACTAAGTTGTTTTGCTCACACCCTACAATTAGTTATTTGCGATGGTCTCAAAGAGGCAAAAACTTACTCTACTCAAGCTAAAGCATCCAGAATATGCACTTTGCTTCATACTAGTACAACGTTTAAAGAGGCTTTTGATAAAACATTTTGCTCCAAACAGGGTATTCTTCGAGTAAACGCAACAAGATGGAATTCCACATTCCGTCACATAAAAAGCATTGTCACTTTGGATGAAAAGCAAATTGAAAAACCTACTTGATGATTTAAGTCACCACAATCTAATACTAAATCAAAGAGAATATGTGCAACTTAGAGAGCTTGTTGATTTATTGAAACCATTTCTTAAAGCCACCGATATAACTCAAGGTAAAAAAAAATAACAATTTCATTAGTAGTTCCCTCTATCGTCTACATAGTCACTTAGAACAATTTAATACAACTTATCTGTCCGGTATGAAACAGATATTGCCAAACAGTCTTCAAAAATGATTTTCTGGTATACTTGCAAATGTTGACCTTATCTCATCAACAGAAAAGAAACTACCATTTAATGACTTGATATATGCTTTTGCCAAAGTTTTGGATCCCAATTTTTCTTGTGTCATATCAATCCAGGCCAAACAGACAACTTAAAGACAAACATTCTTTCAAAAATTCGTCAGTTCTGCCACAAGCACTTTCCCCATACCTATGCAGCCATGGACGGAAAAGTCTTACCAGAAAACCTACCCTCTAAAAAGCCAAAAATTAATTCATCTTTGTACTCTTATTGTAGACCTACACCTGTCATTTAGACTGGAACTACATCACAACCACCTGTTAAAAGTTTTGATACTCAGTTTCATTTTATATGAGGAACTGATTAATGAAGTGTTGGCATCTAATTTCAATAGCCTAGACATAGTTGTATCCAATTTTGGTTAATGCATGGGCAAAAATTACTAATTCACCAAAGTGCTCCCATGTATGCTTTTTTTTAACTGTAAGCAGTGCTCCTGTTGAAAGGGTATTCAATCAGGGTGGCCTGATTATAAACCCTAAGCGTGCAAGTATAAATTCAGACACTGTCAGTTAGTGTTTTTAAAATGTTTTTTAAAAATTGGATATGTTACTATAATTTTTTATGAAAATCAGCATTTGCAATCTTTTTTTTCAAAAGAATGATAGAATAAAAACATTAGAAAATAGGCTAAATAGTTTATGAAGTGTTATGTCACTGTATTGTGTATTATGACTCCTTGACTAATATATTACAGATGGTTTATTTTACTTTTAAAGCTATTTTAGTAAATAAAGTAAAATTATAATTATTATCATGCTGTATTTTATAATTGTTAGTTGACTGTTTGAATGTAGCTAACAGAACCATGGCAGGGTTCCCTCATGCCCCTCTTGTAAGAGGAATTTTGGTGTTTTAAGACAGGTTTTGGAAGGGGCCTTCGAACTCCTAGCTGCGTTACTGATAGCCGCCACATGCAAGGGAATCTTTTATTATAATATGACTTGACTTGAGACTTGACTTGTCACTATATGACTTGAGACTTGACCTCATATACATATATATATATATATATATATATATATATATATATATATATATATATATATATATATATATATATATATATATATATATATATATATATATATATATATATATATATATATATATATATATATATATATATATATATATATATATGTATATATATATATATATATATATATATATACATATATATATATATATATATATATATATATATATATATATATATATATATACATATATATATATATATATATATATATATACATATATATATATATATATATATATATATATATATATATATATATATATATATATATATATATATATATATATATATATATATATATATATATATATATATATATATATATATATATATATATATATATATATATATATATATATATATATATATATATATATATGTATATATATATATATATATATATATATATATATATATATATATATATATATATATATATATATATATATATATATATGTATATATATATATATATAAAATATTTCATCCTGAATTTAAACTTGGTTAAGGAACATTATCCTTCTGATATCTATTTTTGCTACTGAAAATTTTCGAAGCTCATTGAAAAGCATTAAAAGAAGCTCTTCTAACATTTTATGATTTTTTAGGAATAAAGATTTTCAAAAAACCAACCTATCTATATATAATTCTGCAAATAATTAAACTTTTCCTTGTATGTAATTGTATAATAAATGATTTATATTGAAATTTTAGTGCCAGTTGTGTATTTCAATGGAAGTTCGTTTGTATCGTTCCCTGTACAACCTTTTGAGCACTTTCGGAAAAATAAAATTTCTTTTCGTTTTCGTACAACAGAACCAAATGGTTTAATAATTACCAGTGGAAATTCTCAAAGACATTTTATTGTTGAGCTCAACAGAGGGAACATCCAAGCAAATATTTCTATGGGAGCAGGTGATTTTTTACTTATAAATGACTAACTTATTTTACCAACTTTTTTTAAAAATAAAACTATCTTTGAAACTTAAAGTTTCAAAATTTAAAATTTTTTTTCTCTAAAACTTCAATTAAATAAGTAAAATTGCATATATGGAAAGTTTAACGGCTCTGTTCTTTTGAAGTACTCATAGCCTTTTATTATAGTAAACCTTCAATATAGACATATATATTAATAGTAGTTTTAACATTATTATCAGGGCAGGCGTATGGTTATTGGGATTACCCAGGTGTTGATAACATGTAATCCTGTGCAAACTGTTTCATTTCCTGCTATCTTGCAGGATTTTTTTTTTAACCGAAAGTTGAAGGCATAGGTACACAAACACACATATATCTGTGTGTGTACATATATATTACATGTGTGTGTGAGTGTTGGTGTGTGTGTGTGGGTGTGTGCGTGTAAGTGTGGGTACATATACATTAATTTACATATTGTATACAATTGTATGTGTTTTAGGTATTGTGTGAGGTCACCGGTAATTTACTATATATGTATGTTTGTGTTCTGTTTGAACCTCTGATGCGTTGTTCATTTACCCGTAAGTTACTATATCATCCCCTCAGTATTATTTTGTTCTATCTATAAATGTAATAAGTAAAATGTTCTATCTAATATATAAAATGAATAAATAAATATATATATATATATATATATATATATATATATATATATATATATATATATATATATATATATATATATATATATATATACAATGTTTACCTGATATAATATATCATATTATATTACATAGAATATTGTATTCATTTGTATATAACTATTTGTGTGTTTATTTTAATATTAGATAGAACATTTTATTTATTACATTTGTAGAGAGAGCAAGATAATACTGAGGGGATGATATGAGTGGGTCAGAAGCCAAGGGGTAAAAGTGACAATTTTACCAAAATTAAGTTAAGTATAGAATTTGATAGAAGAAGCAAACAAAATTGTTGGTGGCCAAGGGATTCAAGTGAATCTCTGCCCTGTGCTGCTTTCTACTGGAAAAACATAACAACAGCTGAGTATATTTAACAAAAATACTTTAACTTTAAACAGCTGTATCTCAAAACAATGAAAATGTCACTTGTACCCCTTGGCTTCTGACCCACTCATACGTATTTCTATGTTTTTCTGAACCTCTCGCGTGCTGTTTGCTGAACTATAAGTTACTTCATTTATGTATTTAAACCTTATTTTGTATTTAATTCTTTGATGCAGTGTGAGCTCAGTAACTCTAACTATAAAACTTACGCTAACTTTAATCTCAAGTATTCTGTTAGATGTAATGTTTTTCCTAATGCTTTTCCAAAACTTCCTCATCAATTTTTTAAAGTACTACTTACAATAAGCAGCTTTTTTTATTTACTCCAGGTCAAATCAGGCTTAAGATCTTTACAATCACCCTGCTACTGGTATCATATAATCGAGTACTACCTGCTCAACGCAAAGCTGCCTTGTAGGTTTTGTTTTTTTTTAAGTAAAGACTAAGAAAAATGAATAATTACTTAAATTTCACCTTTCTATAGAACTCTTGTTCAAGGCTAGATATGGTGTCTCGATAAAAATACTCATCTTGGGCAGATGTTAATTTTACCCAGTTAAAATTTCCCTATCTTGAATTTCTTGGTTGAGTAAAGACTATAAATGGTGTCTTGTTAAAAATACTCATCTCGGGCAGATTTTAATGGCATCTAGCGTCTAAGGCCGGCTGGTAGTAAGGTTTTCCGTACTCTGTGGTAGCTCTCAGAGAGACTAATTTTATCAATTGTTGAAATTATCAGTATATTAACAGTGCCATGTTGCGCATAAATTATGTACCTGTTAATGCTTTTCTTATTCAATGTCAAAGTCACATTAAAAACCTAAAGTTATGACTTGGGTTAATTAGCATGACAGAAACAATTGCATAGCTATTAGCTTGGGATGACGTGCTTCACTTATGGATGCTTCAAGTTCTTCTTAAACCATCCCTAAAGTAACCTAAAAAAGTAAAAATGAAAACATATTTGCTACCAAACTGTTTTTATTTCTTTCACAAATATTCGTGTTCTTCAAATTAACTTTCTATCAGTTGAAATGTACCTGTCTCTGACCATAACTCGAGTTCATTTTCTTCTTGTTTTTCTCTAGATGGTTCTGACCTTGCAACAATCTCTATAAATCTTTCATCTCGTGCTTCTAAATTGTACTTACACTATCATCGCTCGTTTAGCTTCTACTACCTTAAAGCTGACAGAGAGTTACTTGCGATTTTCATTGTGATGGTCATTGCGCTGATGTCTTTCTCAGCTGGTAAATGCGTCTCCTACGTAACTTTATGTATTCAGCCAGTTATGAAAACTCCTTCTTGTCGGTTTTAAGTCACGCCTCATTCTACTAAACGGTTTTTACTTTTGCAGCGGCTATATTTATATTGATCTTTTTATTTTTCATATATTTCAAACAAACACCTCTCATACAAAAAAACGTTTATTTATTATTGCAAGAAATTATTTTAAAAAGGCGCTGTTTGATGCTAAGCTCCATTATTCCCAGTTTACCAAATCTCTTAGACATTAGACACTAGAAACTTTTGTGAAACCTTCAATAGATAATCTTAAATGTGAAATCTTAAATAGCGTTATTAGCAATGGTAAGTCTAACATTTCATCTCTAATTGTTAAATACTGGGCTCATACTTCTACATCTCTTAATGATATGACAGAACTATTTGCAAAACCTTACTTTTAATTCGATTCTAATGTAAAATTAGTTTCTCAATTAAACTCTTCTACTACTTTTCAAAGTTTTCAAATTTACTGTTCAAAGAACATTTCTATTATAGTCTTATAAAAATGTTCTCCAGAACTCTCTTTAATTATTTCTAAACTCTTTAATAAATGCTTGACTGAATCTGGTTTTCCTATTTTTTGGAAAACGACATCTGGGGTTTCATTTTTTAAAATCTCTTGAGAATATTCTGACCACTCTGAGCTACGGTCCGATCAGTCTTCTCTCCATTATTAAAAACGTCTTTGAGACTTCGATCAACAAACTTTTAACATCCCATCTTGACTCAAATAACTTACTGTCAGACAATCAAGAGGGTCTCAATCTAAATGCTGTGATTAAAAGATTTTATCATGCATTAGATGGAGGCGGAGAGGAAAGGCCTTTAGCTCATGATACATCTAAATCTTTCAATAAAATTTACCTTCTCTTTAAGCTTATTTCACATGGCGTATCTAGGAAAGTTTTTGAGATTATCAAATTATTTTTTCATTTCTATTCTTAGTTCAGTTTTTTCATTGTTTTTTCTCTACATTAATGATCTTCCCGAAAACGTTACATCTAAAGTAGCTTTGTTTGGTAACGTCTGAAGTTTTTTTTCCTGTCTTGACAATAGCTATTCTCTTTTAGATTAGTTAGAGCAGACATTCGATCTTAAATCTAATTTTACTTCTGTAACAAACTGGGGCTTGCAGTGGTTTGTGAATTTTAACTCACAAACCACTGCAAAAAAACTTAACTACTTAACGCAAACTACGATAGCAATACTGTCACCATATATTAATAAACGGTAACCCTCTCACTGAGTCATCTTCTTTACGTCTTTTTAAATAATCTTTCACTTCTAAACTTTCATCAAAATCATGTATACAATTGATGTCTACGTGAGCAACTGGTAAGGTAACTTCTATTTATCGTGTTCGCCATTGTCTTACTGCTGATATTATTCTCCATCTTTACAAATCTTTTTTTCGTCTTTTTATGGAAAAATGCTGTCATATTTGGTCTGGTTCTTTTAATGCTGCTTTTTCTCAATGTAAACTCAATGTAAACATATTTGAAGCTTTGTCTGTCAAGCTTAAGCCTCTCTGTCATTATCGTCATCTTTTTCTCTTTTCTACTAATACTATCATGGTTGCTGCTCAAAGGAAATCATCTCTACTACCATCAACCAAAACTTATTTTTGCTTTACATTTAACAAGGTCACATTTTTACTGTATCTATCCCTAAATGGTCTAAAAATTTAATTTGTCTAGTTTTTTTTGCCGTACTTTTACCAATTGTAACTCTCTCCCAACTTCATGTTTTTCTGATTCATAAAACCTACATTTTTCAAGTCGTTAACTCTATTCTTTGTTTTCTAGTAACTCTTAACTTAATAGTGGTCATATATTTAATAATATAACGTTTTATATTATCTCAGCGGCCACGGCAACGTCTATATGACGTCGAAAGGACGTCTTTTTAGGACGTCCAGAACTGGTTTTAAATGGCAACGCCACATGACGTCTTTTTAAGACGTAATTAGGACGTCTATTTAGGACGTCTATTTAGGCCTTTAACTTTTTTTTTGCTCAGATGCACTCTTTAAAATATTGCCACCAGCATTTTAAAGTTTTTTTTTGCTGTAGGAATCAGGGAAGCAGTCTTAATCTCTTAACCAGTCTAACCTTAAAAAAATATTGTTAAGATAAGTATGTAAAAATAAAGGAGAAAGAAATATATAACACACACATATATATAATAATTATTTTATAAACATAAAATCAAACATCAAAAAATACGAATTTCTCAACACTAAATTTATTTTTTTAAAGAAACGTTTGACTGGATTGTTGTGACCAGCGTATATATTTATGTATATCAAGTATGCAATATAATTGCGGTATTAAAAATGCTCTTTTTATAGTAAAATTATACTTACTTTGAAAGCATGCCCTTCTCAAATGCACTGCATGATGAGCCACCAACATTTAACAACTTCTATTTCTAAATTCAAAAGATAACACTAGTGTAATTGATATGGGACAGTTTAGTGTAAGTTATATTGGGCATAGGAGCAATTCATTAGTTTTTATTCGATTCAAAAATTTTGTGTAAATTATGTTTATTTGTAAAAAGAGCATTATGTATTTAATTACAGATCAAAATTTTTTATGTAATTTACCCTCATAAAAAAAA